GTCATGAGGCAGGACATGTGCTGTCTGTGTATGTGAGGAGGCACAAGAAAGCCACAGCAAAGGGGTGGAGTGTCATAGGAGATGTGGTAAAGAAATAACTAATTATGGAGTGAAGGTGTGGGATGAAGATAGATGAGGACTGATTGTGTAGTACCTGGTGGGTGATTCTGAGCACTTTGGCCTTTACTGAGGGAGATGGGAAGCCCTTGCAAGTAAGAGACTTTAAAGGATCACTCTAACCTGCTGTTTTGAGAATCAACTATGGGGCAGGGGCCAAAAAATCATACAGATGACAGGGTGGTGGTGGCTTGGATGTAAAGTGGTAACAAGTAGAAAGGTGGCTAGATTCTGAGTATATTTGCATATCAGAACCAACTATTGCAGATGGGGTGTGGGATATGAAAAAAAGAGGAGTCAGAGACGGCAAAAAGCTTTGGAGATCAGCAAACATGGTGGATGGACTTACTACTTATTGAGATCAGAGAGGCTGTAGTAAGTGTCGATATTTGGGGGAAGGGGTGCAAATTTGTCTGTTTAGTTTGAGAACCATATTTGATTCTAAGATAACATGTTGAGTAGGCAGTTAGCCATACAAGTCTGTAGTTCAGTGTAGCCCTCCAGGAACTACAAATATAAATTTGGAAGGTACCAGCATTTGAAGTATGAGAAGAGGAAAGTTCACTAGGGGAGCAATTGTAGGCAGAGCAGAGTTTCAAGAAATGAAGTGGTTGTTGGATGGGGATGTCTTAAGAGAGGTTTTTTTTTTTTTTTTTTTTCCTTTCTAAAGGCATGTAGGCTAATGAGATGAGAATGATTCCACAGGAAGGAAAAGGTGATGCTGGAAGTACAGAAAATTTCTCAAGCAATTCTCTCACAGTTGAAGGAATTTCTTCTACTTGCTTCAAAGATTGCTGACATGCAGCATCCTGTCTGTGGGTGGGAAATGATATATAGAAGCACTGAGATGGATAAAAGGCCAGAGAGGTAGGCATTAAAAACATTGTTCACCATGATGGCCAGGTATGGTGGCTCACGTCTATAATCCTAGCATTTTGGGAGGCTGAGGTAGGCGGACTGCCTGAGCTCAGGATTCCGAGACCAGCCTGGGCAACATGGTGAGATTCCATCTCTACTAAATATATGTGTGTGTGTGTGTGTGTGTGTATGCTGGACATGGTGGCAAGCACCTGTAGTTCCAGCTACTTAGGAGGCTGAGGCACAAGAATCACTTCAACCTGGGAGGCAAAGGTTGCCATGAGCCGAGATTGCACCACTTCACTCCAGCCTGGGCGACAGAGCAAGAATCTGTCTCCAAAAACAACAACAACAAAAAAACATTGTTCACCCTGAGAATCAATGATAAAACTTAAGCAATACGAGAGTAGTAGAATATACAATGAATATATAAAACTCAAATGGCCTAGAAACTATATATCTGAAAACAGATCCAAACCTAGGATAATAAAGAACTCTCAAAGCTCAATAGTAAAATAAAATAAAACATCCCATCAGAAAGTAAGCCAATGACATGAAGAGAGATTTCACCAAAGAACATACATAAATAGAAAATAGGCACATAAAAAGATGTTCAATATCATGAGCCATTAAGGAAATGCAAATTAAAATCACAAGACGTTATCGCTACACACCTAGCAGAATGGCTAAAATAAAACATAGTAAAAACACCAAGTGCTCATGAGTATGTAAAGAAACTGGATCTCTCAAACACTGTTGGTGAGAATGTAAGATGGCAATTTATACAATGACAAATTAGTTTGTCAGTGTGTTAAAAAAACTACACATATACCATACAACCCAAGAATTGTACTCCCAGGGACTTACCCCACAGAAATGAAAATGTATGTCAATACAAAAACCTATTAAATGTTCATAACAGCTTTATTTGTAAAAGCCAAGAACTAGAAACAACACACATGTCTCTCAATAAGCAAATGGCTCAGCAAAATGCTACTCAGAAACAAAAATGAATGAACCATTGATATACATAACTTGGATTAATCTCAAGGGCATTATGATGACTCTTTGAAGGTTCCATATTATATTATTCCATTTATATAACATTCTTGCAATGGCAGAATTATAGAGATGGAAACAGATTAGTGATTGCTAAGGGTTAGGGATAGTTGTGGAAGATGGTAGGTGTGACTATTAAAGGGTAGTATGAGGGAAAACTTTGTGGTAATGTAACATGTCTGCTACTTGATTGCAGTGATGGTTATACAAATCTGTACAAGTGATAAAATGACATAGAACTATACATACAGACTGTACCAAGGTCAGTTTCCTAGTTTTGATCTCACAGTTATTTAAGATGTAACCACTGGGGGAAACTGAGTAAAGGCTACATGGGACCTCACTGTATTATCTTTGCAATTTTTTGTGAATCTATAATTATTTCCAAATAAGATGCTAAAAAAATGCATGCATGCATGCATGAATGAATATAAAAGTTTTCCCTCTCCCCATTACATTACAGATATTAAAATTCCAAATCCATTGTGTGTGTATTATACAACTAAGCAAATGAGTTATTAATATATTGATGTTATTGGGTGCTGGAATTCTCATTGTAGAAGAACATCTATAAGGAATTTTTACATATCTACAAATATAGAATGGCTGAAGGAGTGCTGAGGGGTTGGATTGGAATTGGAGATCAGCATAATGAATTAGTTATTTCGCATATATGTCTACATGTATACATATGTTTACATGTCTACATATAGACATATATAGAATTTGTATGCATGTATACATATATGTGATTTTTTTTTCCCTAGCTCTATTGCTGAAAGATCCAGAAGTAATGACATTCTGGTAGCAATGAGCATACTCTAGCTCCCAGATCTCAGTTTCTAAATATTACTCCTAACTAAAAGTAACCAAATGCCCACTGACAGATCACTGTATGAAGAAAATGTGGTATATACACACAATATAGTTTAGCTGTTTCCCCACCCGAATCTTGAATTGTATCTCCCAGAATTCCCACGTGTAGTGGGAGGGGCCCGGGGCAGGTAATTGAATCATAGGGGCCATTATTTCCTGTGCTATTCTTACGACAGTGAATAAATCTCACGAGATCTGATGGGTTTATCAGGGGTTTCTGTTTTGCTTCTTCCTCATTTTCTCTTGCTGCCACCATGTAAGAAGTGCCTTTCACCTCCCGCCTGATTCTAAGGCCTTGCCAGCCATGTGGAACTGTAAGTCCAATTAAACCTCTTTTTCTTCCCAGTCTCAGGTATGTCTCTATCAGCAGCGTGAAAACGACTAATACAGTAAATTGGTACCAGTAGAGTGGGGCACTGCTGAAAAGATACCCGAAAATGTGGAAGTGACTTTGGAACTGGGTACCAGGCAGAGGTTGGGACAGTTTGGAGGGCTCAGAAGAAGACAGAAAAATGTGGGAAAGTTTGGAACTTCCTAGAGATTTGTTGAATGGCTTTGACAAAAAAAGCTCATAGTGATATGAACAATAAGGTCCAGACTGAGGTGGTCTCAGAGGGAGAGGAGGAACTTGTTGGGAACTGGAGCAAAGGTGACTCTTGCCATGTCTTAGCAAAGAAACTGGCAGCATTTTGCCCCTGCCCTAGAGGTTTGTGGAACTTTGAACTTGAGAAAGATGATTTAGAGTATCTGGCAGAAGAAATTTCTAGGTAGCAAAGCATCCAAGAGGTGACTTGGGTTCTGTTAAAAGTATTCTATTTTAAAAGGAAAACAGAGCATAAAAGTTTAGAAATTTTACAGCCTAATGATGTAGTAAAAAAGAAAAACCCATTTTCTGAGGAAAAATTCAAGCTGGCTTCAGAAATCTGCATAAGTAACAAGGAGCCAAATGTTAATCCCCAAGACAATGAGGAAAATGTCTCCTGGGCATGTCATGGGTTTTCATGGCAGCCCCTACCCACCCCTATCACAGACCTGGAAGCCCAGAAGGAAAAAATGGTTTCGTGGGCTGGGCCCAGGGTCCCCACGCTGTGTGCAGCCTAGGGACGTGGTGCCCTGAATCCCAGTCACTCCAGCCATTGCTAAAAGGGGCTAAGGTACAGCTTGGCCCATGGTTCAAGTGATTTTATGTTACTAGATTTTTAAATTTCTCTACAATGAACATATACTATTTTTAAAAAGTAAAATGAATAAAATAAAACCAACAATGACTAAGCGGACGCAAAGGAAAAAAGCTGGAAGGGAAATAAAGGCCAACAGTGCTTTGTGATTGCATGATGGTATCATGGATGATATATTTCTTTCCCTATTTCTAACCCTGTGATTTGACTAAGATGTGACTTCTTCCTCTTACCCCTTTCTTTAAAACTTTTGCATCTGCTGCTCTTAAGGTATATTTAGTATCTTTTTAGCATTAAGTGACACCACTTGTTTGGCATATCTAGGGTTATTTTCCTGCTGCCCAGGACTGAATCTTTACACAATGGCTACCTCTGGTAACAATTTCCAGCTGTGGAGCAGTTCTATAGAATTTTCACCCCTGCCTTGTGCTGTCCCATTCCTGCTCTCCTTGAATAGCATATAGTCTAGAGTAAAGAGAAGTAAACAGGAGTATTCTCGTGGAGTGGGAAGGTATGTCTGGATGTCTTTTCTTTTGTAAAACCTTTTAAAACACTATCACCATCCATTAGCTTCCTCCACACTTTCTCTGTAATTAGGCAAAGTGATGTTATCTATAACCTTCTAGAACAAAGCTTGGTGCAAATCAAATCCTTCCTACTTGTCAAGATGATAAATCCTAGCTCAGCAGAGTCCTATAGAAATGGGGCTTTCAAAGACAGTCCAGCACAAGGGGAAGTGAACCTAGCTCTCCAACCCACAGAATATTACTAATTAGATGCCACTTCCCGAGCTCCTAACAAAGGAATTTTTAATTGCTAGCAATGTACATAATTCAGGGATGCAGATTTCAAATATACATCAAAAAGGTAGGCAAATTTGGGCAAATTTTTTTAAATTGCCAAAATACTTACAGTTTTTTCATTATTTTCAAAAGCTTCTCTTGCTTCTTCAAATGTACAGAATTCTTCTTTGCACTCACGCTCAATGTTGCCCTGTCTTATTTCTTCAAAAAACCCATTAGCTCTTGGGTAGCGTTTTAATACGGAATTGGCTTTTTCTCCCGTGAGGAAAACTAAAAAGAAATATAATAAGAAGCATAAAAATGTAATAAAAAACCTATGTGAGAAGTTGATATACCAGATGAAAACTGCAAGATGCTCTTTAGAAAACATAGCCAACATCCTAAGCCTCTTTTGGTGAGTCAGCAATGAAGTAACACTCAGCTCCAAACCACTGTATCTGCTATCTTCTTCATCATGTGAGTATGTCCTTTCAATAGCACTTGCCCTGGGCAGGGACAGTGACATAACTAACTATGTGATATTCAGACTTTAGCACATTCCTGCAAACCATGGGTATTTAAATATAGTAATAATGATAGCACTACTTATTCTCATTACTGTAAGTAGATACCCCAAGGCATGCTGCTGACAGACAGCAGCAGCCAAATCAAATCCAGTCTCTAGATTATCAGTCTTTGTCCGTCTACCTAAAAATAAATAACACTTCAGTTGACCTAGTAATATAAACCCAGAGAGCTCTTACTTGTATGAAAAGAATAGGTTTTAAAAAAAAAATTGAGAAGTTAAATTTGGCCATGATTCATTCTATGAAAATCCTAATAATAATTTTGTTCTAAATGTACTTGAGTTAAATACAGTGTGATGCTTTTTAACACATTCAACCTCATTTCACTGTCCTTTAGAAAAAGAAAATTCTTCTGCATGATTTACAGAGGCATTTCAATATAAACATTCAAAATACATTTATGAAACCATGTAAAATAATAAGATTATTTTATTTTAATAATAAAATATAAAACTAAAAAATAAGATTTTTTATTTTTAAATACAAATAGATTTTAAGTTCAATTTCAATTACATTTTTCTAAAAGAGTGTTGCTTGTTTGGAGAGACAAATATAATGCCACCAGAATTTCATCTCTGTTAATGCAAGAGATTAGAACATTTCCTAATTTATAGAATTCTGACATGAGAAAAGGCATATTATGGATCTTTCAAGATGCTAAAAAAGTCTACATTTTCTGAAAAACATTTTGAAGGAAATGAAAAACTTTAAAAGAGTTATGTGCTCTTTTAAAAATGACAATGACAGCCAGCAATGGAGTAAAGTTTTGCTTTGTTATAGAAATGAGTATTTTACTTTATAGAATATATGGACTTATTATTTAGGATTCTTTAAAGTATCCAAATTGATACCAGCTAGATGGCACTTATACCAGGGTGAAAACCATGATAGGCCTTCAATGAGTATTTCCTTCTGTACCTCAGAAAGGGTTGCCTTTATGACCCTTTATGAGGTACAGAAGGAAGGAAATTCAGAGAATAGATTATGATTATGGAATATGAATTCACAGATTCATAGAATATCATTAGAACAAACTTTAGAAAATACAAATTGTGGTAAGTGTAATGAAGGAAAGCAAAAGGTTACTGTTAAGTTGGAGAATAATAGTAAAATTTTCTAACAATGCTTCTTGCCTTTTAGCCGCATCAGAATCCCTGAAGGACTATCACACAGACTGCTGGGTCCCACTCCAGAGCTTCTGATGCCATAGATCTGAGGTAGGGCTATAAAATTACATTTCTACTCAGTTCCCAGGAAATGCTGCTGCTGCTGCTGCTCCCATTACCACAGTTTGAGAATCACTATCCTAATGAGAGTTCCTTGGAAACATTCTGAGGAAGTATTTATGGAATGCTAGGGTTAACAAATTTAAAGAGATCTTTCACTGAATGACTTTTTAGGGTCCTTAATATATATTTAGTATAAACAGTCATGCATCACTTAACAATGTGGATCCATTCTGAGAAATACGTTAGGCTGTTTCATCATTGTGCAAACAGGACGGAGTGTATTGTCGCAAACCTAAATGGCATAGCCTACTAGTCACCTAGGCTATATGATACAGCCTGTTGGTCCTAGGCTATAAATCTATTCAGCTTGTTACTATACTGAATACTATAGGCAATTATAACAATGGTAAGTATTTGTATATCTAAACATTGAAAATGTACAGGAAAAATATGATATAAAAGATAAAAAATGGTACTGTACAGGGCACTTACCATAAAAGGAGTTTGCAGGGCACTTATCATAAATGGAGCTAACAGGATTGAAAGTTGGCCTGAGTGAGTGGTGAGCGAATGTGAAGGCCTAGGACATTACTGTACACTACTGTAGACTTTATCAACACTGTCCACTTAGGCTACATTAAATATATAAAAATATATTTCTTAAAAAAAAATTTTGGTTGGGAGCGGTGGCTCATGCCTGTCATCCCAGCACTTTGGGAGGCTGAGGTGGGAGGATTGCTTGAGCCCAGGAGTTCGAGACCAGCCTGGGCAACACAGTGAGACCTCATTCAAAAAAATTAAAATTAACTTAAAATATAAAAAATAAAATGAAATGAAAATAAAAAGAAGAAAAATGTTTTTCCTTCTTCAGTAATAAATTAACCTTAGCTTCCTATAACATTTTTACTTTATACTCTTTTTAAATTTTTAACTTTTTAACTCTTTAGTGATAACACAACTTAAAACACACATTGTACAGCTGTACAAAAATATTTTATTTCCTTATATATATCCTTATTCTATAAGCCTTTTTCCTATTTAAAAATTTTATTGTATTTTTTCACTTTTTAAACTTTTTTGTTAAAAATTAAGACACAAGCACACACATTAGCCTAGGCCTCCACAGGGTCAGGATCATCAGTATCACTGTCTTCCACATCCACATCTTATCCCACTTGAAGGTCTTCGGGGACAATAACATGCATGGAGCTGTCATCTGCTATTATAACAATGCTTTCTTCTGTACTACCTCCAGAAGAACTCGCTTGAAGCTATTTTATAGTTAATTTTTTTCATAAGTAGAAGGAGTTTACTCCAGAATGACAATAAATAGTAAATACATTATTAGCCAGCATCATAGTCATTTGTTATCATTTTCAAGTATTATGTACAATATATAATTGTATGTACTATCCTTTTATATGACTAGCAGTGCAGTAGGTTTGTTTACTCCAGTATTGCCACATACATGTGAGTAATGTGTTATACTGTGATGCTATGATGTCAATAGGCAATAGAAACTTTTCAGCTCCTAATCTTATGGGACCATCATTGTATACGCGGTCTATTGTTGACTGAAACATCATTATGCATGCATGTATTTGTAAGTCTCCTGAAACGGAACATGATACATGCATTTGTGATATTTGACTACAGTACCCTTTTTCAAGAGATATTTTACTGACTTAACAACTTCCTAGTCATTGGTCTTATTTATACCCTCTGAATTAACACGTAAGTCTCCTCCATATAACAGGCTAACTAATACAGGAAGAAAGACAGTAAATGGTTTCCCGTGGGACTTCTCTTTTCCAGAATAAACATGTCTTGTTTCTTCATCTGTTTGCCATAGAAAATGGATTTGAGTCTGCATCATCTTCCTCTGAAAATACAGTGATCTATGCTGAGTGCAATACTTTGTGTTTGGTCTGATAAGTGCAAAACTGATCAGGATTATTGGCTTCCTTGTTTTAAAGACAATACATATGTTAATGTGGTCTAAGATATCCCTGGGTTTTGAATCAGTTTTTCTGAGGATAAATCAAACAATCAACATTAATGTATTTTGAACTTTTAAGAGAAGAAAGCTAAATGCTTCTAAGAGACAATTATTTTCTTATATGCTATCCAACTCAAAAAGGTGAGTCAAAGCAAGCCACTAACTCCAGTAACCGGAAAGCAGTCTAACTTAGAAGAATAAGCAATTGGAAGGTAATATAGCAGGACACAAAGCTTCTAATCCAAGTCTAATCAAATTACCAAGCATTCCATAATCATATCTCCTATGTATTTCTTGTACTGGGCAGCAAGGTAATATAATACTGAGAACTCTACATGGATTCAGTTGGCAAGTAGATTTTATCTCACTTGCCAAATCCAGTCCATTAGAAGATATCACTTAAAGTAAGAATCTGACCTGTAGGAAAGATACTATTATAGATTAGTTATGTCTACCACATATTAGGGAAGAGGAAGTAGTGGCAGAGAATTTGCCAGTGCTCATCAAAGTATTTGGAAGCCTAATGGACCCTAAATGATGATACCAGAACTAAATTATTTTCTTTTTTGCCCAAGACACAGCCCTCAGGAGATCCTGAGAACATGTGCCCCTAAAATTAGAATTTTTTAAAATGTGAAAACAAAATAAAGGAGAAGGTGGCAGCTTTGATCTCTAGGATGAAATCAGACTACCTCTTCTAAAAACATGGGGCAATTTCCAGGATGCAAGGTCTTGCGTTAGGACATTTAACTAAAGCCATGATGTTTGAAACTAAAGTTGATCACTTCCTTAAATTGAGTGATCACTTCCTTAATTGCCTCTTTCTCCTTAAATTGTGTGAGTTAAATTACAGCTATCAGGAATCATGTGCATGCCTTAATGAAGGATTACATGATGTGACAAGTATACAGAATGTAAATGTGCCTTGAGAACACAATACTGGGGTGTTATTTAACACACGAAGGTTTCCCATTAAAGGAAATAAAGAAAAACCTAAACTTTTTTTCTGCAGATTCAGTTAGGAAACACTCTTATTAAATATTTCAAATCCAAGGCATATTTACACATACATACACACAAAATAAGTATATTTATTCAAAAAATGTAACCACTTTTTCATAATTTCAAAATAAATAAGCTCTCACCCATGCTTTCTCTTCAAAAGAAAATAATAAAAATAAATGACATAAGTAGATGCAACAAGTCACAAAGATGAGTAGCAGGTGACCTCTGCCCTTAAGGTTCTTCAGTGCAAGAGGTAACAGAGATATAACAAAAGAGATACACAAAGAGTTCTATTGTAAGACTGAACATGATGGATGTTCAAGGTCAAAAGGCAGGCATATTTCTGGTGGGTGTGTGAGTTTGTGGTTTGGATGCCCTAATTTATTTATTTATTTATTTACTTACTTAACTTATTTATTTATTTATTTTTGAGACAGAGTTTTGCTCTGTAGCCCAGGCTAGAGTACAGTG